AACCTCTCGTAAGCTACCTTTTTCTCTTTTATCACACCCTTTACTTCATCATTCCACCAATCACTCCTCTTTCCTCCTGCCCCCACCCTCCTATAACCACAAACTTCTGCCCTACATTCTAATACTGCATTTTTAAAAACTATTCCAACCCTCTTCAACCCCCCACTACTCATCTTTGCACTAGCCCACCTTTCTGCCAATAGTCTCTTATATCTCGCCCGAACTTCCTCCTCCCTTAGTTTATACACTTTCACCTCCCTCTTACTTGTTGTTGCCACCTTCCTCTTTTCCCGTCTACCTCTTACTCTAACTGTAGCTACAACTAAATAATGATCCGATATATCAGTTGCCCCTCTATAAACATGTACATCCTGGAGCCTACCCATCAACCTTTTATCCACCAATACATAATCTAACAAACTACTTTCATTACGTGCTACATCGTACCTTGTATATTTATTTATCCTCTTTTTCATAAAATATGTATTACTTATTACCAAATTTCTTTCTACACATAGCTCAATTAAAGGCTCCCCATTTACATTTACCCCTGGCACCCCAAATTTACCTACTACTCCCTCTATAACATTTTTACCCACTTTAGCATTGAAATCCCCAACCACCATTACTCTCACACTTGTAACATCACATAATGAGTTAGTTGATTATTTAATTGCTAAGAGATTGTACTTTGAAATTTGAACAATAATGGAGCAAAACATACACTACATTACGTAGGCTTTTAGGTTGGACATTGTTTAGTTATTCTCTGTAAGATTAGTATCCCTGAGAAATCGTGATAGATCATTCTCGTTCGTGATTGTGTACAGTTGACCTACATTCGTTTTCCTAACTAGAATTTTCCCATCCCGTGTGAAGCATTGGTGTATTGTGTCATTATTCTCCCGCTTAAGTTTTCTGACTCTATACAGGAGGTTCTGACGCTTTTTGGTAAGACACTCATTTATAAACCATACCCCCGGCCGGGATTGAACCCGCAGTCATAGAGTCTGTGGGTTCAATCCCGGCCGGGGGTATGGTTTATTTGCAATCGTGTCATTACGATTTCTTGAGTCACACTCGTTTATGTATACCTCTTTCTTTACTTTAATAGATGCAATAATTAAGTCTTTTTTCCTGTCATGTGAGTGGAATCTAAGCATAACACTTTTTCTACCATGGGATCCTAGTAACCTGGCTTCTTTTATTTCAGACTCTGGTACAATAACACTTATTTGGTCCTTTATGATCTGCAGAGTAATTTCTTTACTGTTTGTTTGGTTCATATCACTGGGAAAAAGTGGACTGTTAACTATTACTGCGTCCGATAGTTTATCTTGTTCAGTTTTATCTTCTTGGAGAGCAAAGTAGTCACTGAATTGGTTATCTAAGTTGTTCTTCCATTCTTTTACTGCTTCTTCAACCTTTGTATTAAGAGATATTATTTGTTGGGTATGGCTATCTATGACTGTTTGGATGGTCTGTCACAGTTAGTCATTCCTGGGTGTTGATAACTTTTGTTCAAGACTGAGGATTTTGTTCTCGAGTTGTGTCATCCTGGTGTCTTGTTTTGTTAGCGTCTCTCGAAGATTCATATTTTCAATAACTAAGGTGGAGATGCATGACTTTAGGGTATCTGGATCGTTGGTCATACCTGAGAGACTACTTGGTAGGTTTAATCGGGGAAGAGGGGAGGATGGGCTGGTGGCAGCCATGTTTGTTGTTATTGTTGTGGTGTCGCCTTGAGCGGTGGTGAGAGGGGTGGTAGCTGGGCCGGCGTCCTCCTGGCTACACTTGTTGAATAGTTGATTTTTCGGTGTTTTCTTGCTGGCCTTGGTGCTGTTTCCTCTGAGATTGTGCCTCATAATACTACAGGAATTGTTGTAGTTAAGAAGAAGTTGTAGTTATACAAAGCTTAGGGTTACGTTGTTCGGCTGGCAGCGGGGTGTTGCTTTGGGTTTGTAGGGCAGTCTTCCTTTGATCTCTATTATTTTTGATTTGTAGGTTTCACTGTTGGTAATCTTTGGTCATTCTGGGTGCTACGTTGGGTAGTGCAGTTTTGCTTATAACTAGGTCATCATAGGAGCATTGGTGGCTCTGATAGTTGGAGAAAAGTACGGGGCTTGGAGGTCGCTGCTGTTGCTGCCGCTGCAGTGTTTGTTAGAGAAAAAGAAATTGGAATGACTTATGCAGCAAGTAGCGCCACCAAACAGTACCAGCAGGTTGGTGTGGCGACCCTGGAAATTTGAAATTATGCTAGCCAAAATTAGTGCCGAATAACTGAAGGAACCGAATAACTGATTGCCGGATTTGTGATGGCGGACCTGTACTGAAATGGTACTCAAATAGTCACAAACACACTGACACATGAACATTTTCACCTGCCTTGTCACATACTATTGTCTAGAAATATATACAAAGCATTTGTAGGTCCCACCAATGTTTTAGACACGCTGGAGTACTTATGAAACTCCTTGAAGCATGGTGTAAGATGAGTGTCACTCCATTGCTGATAGTGCAGCAGTGGAGTGACACTTGATGATTGTGCACTGCCTTGGCTTTATTTGTTTTCAGTACACATAAACATGCTTTACAATGGTTTATGCAGTATTTAAAACTTGAGTGTGTAAAAGCACCCTTCTGGATAGACAGGATGATTGATGATGTGAGTTTTTTTTTTTCGGGTCCACCTCTAACGGTGTTCTGTCTGTTTATCTTTTTATCTGTCTGTCTATCTGTTTGTCTCTGTCTCTGCTTATCTGTCTTTCTGTCTGTCTTCCTGTCTCTCCGTCTGCTTGTCTGTCTTTCTGTCTCAGAGAGAGAGCCACTCATGAACCAACAGGTATTACACATGATGCAGAGTCATCACATCCGATTCCTGAACAAGTGAAAATGCGTAAAGTACTCGCCAGCATGCTCATTATGCCTCGTATCTACAAGCACAGCATAGCACTTTGTTTAGATTTTTTGGGGTTATCCTAGGTATTTACACTATGTATAATAACTGAATTTATGTGTACCTGTGAGATAGAAATAAGAGACAGAGGTAGATACAGACACAGACAGACAGAGATAGCGACAGCCAAAGTCAATCAGCCACCCACCCACTCACCCACCTAAACCCAGCCGTCCTGCTGAACACGTATTATACATGCTCCAGAATTGCTTCTCTTAGGGCATAGGTTATAGGACATTTTGGCAGGATGACACTACCAGTGGTATCAAAATTAAAAGGATGTGACACTAATGTTGCACATGGGTTATTATCAAGGTTTTTGATATTTCCTGAACCACTTGTGGCCACATCCACCTCGAAGTCACTAAACTCAGGATCAGCATCACTTTCCTCTTAAAAGGGGAGTGTTAATATGACATGACAACAATGAATCCCTGGTGTTTGCCACACTGTTTGCTCTTCCTGGTGTTCAATTGAACTGGTGCTTCCACAGGGTACTAAGTGGTCCCAGGTTTTTTTAATACTGCACACACTGAGTGTTAAGACCCATTCTATACTGACCAGGCATCTCAGGTCAATTGTGCCAAAATTGGAGGCAGGAAAAATAAAACGTTGATCCACGTTTAGAGCATTAGTGGTAACAATGTAGATCTATGTTTGGACAATTAACCCTTTCAGGGTCCGTCCCGTAGATCTACGGCTTTACGGTGAGTGTCCAAACCGTAGATCTACGCCATGAGCTCAGCTCACTCTGATAAACTGTGAGTGGTACATTTGGGCCTAGATATGAGAGAATACATCTATGTGGTATGTGTGCACCACATAAAACAGATCCTGCAGCACACTGTGCATAATGAGAGAAAAAAACTGAAATCATGATTTTTCGATTAAAACAGCAACTTTGCAGTGTTTTTTTGTATGTTTTTTATAGTTGTATTTGCGATTTCTTGGTCTCATTTGATAGAATGGAAGACATATTACAGAAATAGAGATGATTTTGATTGGTTTTAGCACTGGAAATGGCTTGAAACTGAGCTCAAAGTAGCGGAAATGTTAAATTTTTGCCGATATTCAAGAGTAAACAAACGACCTCACACGTCTAATACACGTCAGCTGGTGGGTCTAATATACATTCACAAATATGGTGATGATATTTATACAATTATTACAGTATTGCATAACAGTAAATCTTCTATTTTTTGGTGTGAATAAAAATTCATTATGTGAATAAAAAATCAAAATGGAATTTATTTGTAAAGCCTCAAAACATAACTAATGAACAGAGGAAATGTTAGTTTAGTGCCAGGAATACCTACATTGTTTATTCTGGACCCTATTTTGAAATTGGAATATTTTGAACTTTGTGTTAAATTGGCCAAATTAACAATTTCCGATCACTTTATTTTGTAGTTGAAACAGTTGACTTGGCGATTTCTTGTGCTCAATCGATAGAATAGAAGTAATACTAGTGAAATAGCTAAGAATTTGGTTGATTGGAATAATGTAATTGGCCTAAATGGGAGTCAAAGTCGGCAAAATCGCCGATTCGTAAATATCGCTGACACATCAAAATTCGCGAGAGCATAATTTCGTCAATTTTCCACCAAATTTCGTACTTTTTGTTTTATTACCTTCACAAAAAGATTCTCTACGATTTCATAAGAAAAAATAACAAATTTTTTTTTTTTAAATTCTTGGACACTGGTGCGTGACTCCAGATTTGGGCCTTGGACCCTGAAAGGGTTAAAGGTTAAGGTTTAGCAATAGTTATATTCTTTTGCAGGTTATTTACACTAGTTGTATGGTTTTCCTCATTTTAATGCATTTTCAAGGCATTTCGTCCAGCTTACATCTAAAGCCGGGTTACGTCACAACTCTTGGAACCAATTAATGACATAGGGGGGTATGACTGTATGTATTTAGTTTTCATTGCTGAGTATACTGTAGGCTTTCATCTTATTGTACTCTAGTATATGTGTATTAATTGAATTAAAATTATTAGTAGTAGTATTATATTATTATTAATATTGTTATTATTGATCAGGCCCTGATCCATCGTGAGGCCTGGTTGAGGAGTGGGCCACGGGAGGTGTCGGCCCCTAGAACAATCTCCAGGTAGACGAGGACCAACCTCAGAGTTCACATGTCTTTAGACTTATGAAAGATCTATTCTTTAATGCACTAAAGAATTTAAGTGGTTTCTGTCAGCATAAGATTTTACCAGACTTAAACTTGGTTGAAATTTCTTAAAAGTTTATAGGTATTTCTTCATCAGATGTACATTTATCATAAGTGATAAAATATATGTCTACAAAATATGGTTTAAAGTTGATTCAGAAAAAGGTGACATTATTGACACACTCTACAGAAAACCCTGGGTTATGCTGAGCATTTTTGGTAACCTTAAAATTAACTTATAACTACAACTGGAATTTTTTGCAAGAACAGTATGTTAGAAGTTTTAGTAAAATTTGTTATAATTTTTAGGGAGGTTATTATGAATGTTGGTCAGATACAAATGCGCGAGTTTTCAGTACATCTAAAAGATTCCGTAAAAAAATCTTAATGTGTTGTATGGCTGTTCATGCAAAAAAAAATCTTAAAACACAAAGCAAAAATATTTAGTAGAAAACATGAGAGTTTATACAGAGGAACTGCAATATAACTGTTCAGTCTGTTTAATGAACTTTTCACGAAAACCTGCCTTGATACAACACGTGAGAGGTCACACTGGCGAGAAATCATACGAGTGTTCAAAGTGTTTAAAAGCTTTTTCAGAAAAATTGCATCTAATAAAGCACATGGAAGCTCATTTAGGAGGGAAACCATATCAGTGTTGTGTGTGTTTAAAAGAATTTACGAAAAGAGCAAATATGGTAGAACATTTGAGAATTCATACAGGTGACAAACCATTTCAATGTTTGGTTTGTCTAAAAGAATTTGGACAAAGATCAAAACTAATGGGACATGCAAGAACTCATACGGGAGAAAGACCATATCAATGTTCACAGTGTCTTAAGGAATTTTCTCAAAAATCAAATTTAATAAGACATAAGATGATTCATACAGGAGAGAAACCATATCAGTGTTCAAAGTGTCCTAAAAAGTTTTCACAAAAAACATATCTAATACAGCACATGCAGAGTCATACAGAAAATAGTCTATATCAGTGCTCAGAATGTTTGAAAGACTTTTCTCAAAAATTATCACTAACACAACACATGAAGCTTCATAATGGAATGAGACCATATCAGTGTTCAGAATGCTTGAAAACATTTAGACTAAAAACTACTCTAATAGAACACACTAGAGTTCATACAGGAGAAAAACCATTTCAGTGTTCAGTATGCTTGAAAAAATTTAAGCAGCAGTCAGGCCTAATGAGACACACAAGAATTCATACAGGAGAGAAACCATTTCAATGTTCAGAGTGTTTTAAAGCTTTTTCAGAAAAATCAACACTGCTGAAACACATGCGCTATCATAAAGGTGATAAACCATATCAGTGTTCAGAGTGCCTAGAAGCATTTTCAGAAAAATCTTATCTAATATTTCACACTAGACATCATACTGGAGAGAAACCATATCAGTGTTCAGAGTGTTCTAAAAACTTCTCACGAAAATCATCTCTAATAACACACATGCACATTCATATACAAGAAAAACCATATCAGTGTACAGAGTGTGTTAAAGAATTCGCACAAAAATCACATCTAATAACTCATATGAAAATTCATACAGGAGAGAAACCATATCAGTGTTCTGTTTGTACAAAAGCCTTTGCACATAATTCATCTTTAATATATCACATGAGAATTCATACAGGAGAGAAACCCTATCAATGTTCTGTGTGTTCAAAGAGAGTGTCACAAAAATCATCTCTGAGAATACACATGAGAATTCATACAGGCGAGAAACCGCATCAGTGCTCCTTATGTGAAAAAAAATTTACGACAAGCTCGCATCTAGTGAATCACATGAAAATTCATACAAAAAAACATAATAGTGTCACAAATGTCAGCAATAATGAAAACAAATCAGAGACTGTTGAGAATAACCCTCATTGAAGGGACTTTAGTTTGCCTTACTCCACTATCCACTTTACATTCCTTTTCTGTGTTGTGAGTGATTTATGAAGGGCTTGTTTAAAGCTTATATGTTGTGGTAAATAAGACCTCATTATTGATGTATTATAATAAGTGGGTTTTATGTAAGACATACTACAGTATCTTTTATGTGGTATCATGCAAGTTCTTAATATAAGTTATATGGTGAATTTAGTCAATTTCACAAAACATGAATTGGTGTATGTTATGTAAAAGCATGTGTAATACAGGCTGAGAGTTTGTCCCTTGAGGACAATCAAGAGCCCCAGTGAGGGGCTCTTGATTTAAGGAAGTGGACCTATCCTCCCCTTCCTTGGATCAAATCAGATTGTCTTCCATTCCCATGTTCTGTATGACCCTATGGGTTTAGCACTTCCCCATGATTATACGCATAATAACTTGAGTGTGAATATTTTAGTATGATGTTATGATAGGTGTTTTTTAATGTCTGTGAAGCATAAATATTTAGAGAACAGAACTTTGTGACTAATCTCCTTTTTGTGTACAGTGTGAGATTGAAGCTTCAGCAGTGACCAAGGGCAGTGACCACAGGCAGTGACCACAGGCAGTGACCAAGCTCTGCGTTCATCAGGGGTTTCCATGGTAGTGGAACCAAAGATGCAGACACTGAATATAAGCTACCCAACTTTTTACCGACATAAATGAAGTAACTGGTCTTTATTAAGCAGAGTTGAGTCAAGGTTCTGTAGAGTCCTCCTGTGCATAGTGTGGGAGTAAAAAGCTTTTGCTGATATCTTCCCTACATGAATGAGGCCTTGATGTTGAAGGCCTCTTTAAGGAATCTCAGCAATCCTCCCTTGCATAAAACCTTACTACTTCCTATTCCTTAGGTGCTGTGACCCCTGTGGGTTTAGTGCTTCCCCATTAATATTTATTAATCTGCTAATGCCCTGAGCTGTATAGGCATGAAACCTCATTTGTCAGTAGAGCTTCAGTTACAGAGGCTGGCCAAGAACTACCCACATAATCTTTCCATAGATGGTGGCCCTTAAAATTATCAGATGGAAGTATTTGTAATAAAAGTAGAGAATTAAAGAATGATAATTATCCTCATATATGAACTGCCTTCAGCAGTGACTGAAGAATTTATTAAACTGATGAAAATGAGCAATGCTGTTTTACAAATTTTGAAAATATTGTCCTTAGAGATTCCAACTTCCCAAATGGAAGATAATACTTCACAGGCATAACTTGAGAGAAATAATATTTATTCATGTTTACCTACAGTCTCCCTAATGGCAAGTTTTCTGTATTTGGTAGAGGGTAATAACAGCTTGGCTGTACTGGGTGGGCTTCAGCTCCCTTAAGATGGCCATAGAATATAGGGTAAGTTTATTCAGGTATACACAAATATAGTTACATAGATTATCAAACATAGCAGCATATCTGTAGAGTAGCTTATTTCCATTGGGGGCCAAAGAGAACTCTGCCCTAATTTTCTCTTGCTACCCATAAAAGCCTTGTTTTCTCTTTCCTGAGTTGGGCAGACTTGTAGTTTGCAGTCTGTGGTGGCAACATGCTTGTGTTAAGAGGAGAGAGGTCAGACAGGAGATTCAGTAGTGGCCCCACTGAATCAGTTGGGTGATCTAGCAATACTGTCCTGTCTGATAGGGCAGTACATTCTACTACAACCAAGCAAGTATCAGTGGATGGGCACCACTTGGGTCCTATGGCTGCCATTTAACTTATTGTTGGTACTCACATATGCCTCTCTTAAACCTGGGCATGTTTGTTTTAGTCAATCTTAAGCCTTCCTTTGCTGGGTGGGGAAAAAGGGAACTAAAGGTAAAGTAATTACTGTAAGTTACATGAATAATCTTTCTATACACACTGCTGATGATCCCTGCACATGTCTGGACTCTCCTTGGAACCTGGTATTGCTGTCAGGTATTCCTTTATTGCCTGACCCAGGTAACGGTGCCTGCCATAACTGCTACCATGATGCAGCTGTAATTTTTTGGGTCATTTTCTTGTTACAGGATAAAATGGCTAGGAGCTATCATCTAAATAACCTCGACACATACTACATGAGGGGTCCTGAGTCTAGAACTGTCCCTCATCTCTCATATAGGAAACAGCCTGCTTGGAAACTTTTTTCTCTCAGATTTCTTCAATGACAGTCTTGGCTGAAATTCTTTTCCCTCCAATCAACAACTACTGATTACCTAACTGACCACTGCATTAGCAAACCTCTCATGAGGTATATTGGCCAAAACAGATCCTTCCATGCCCTCAGGAGTGGGATTCACAATGTCTCTGTAAAGGAAACCTGGAGAGGGTTTTGGGGGTCAATGCCCCTGCAGCCTGGTCTGTGACCAGGACTCATGATGGATCAGGTCCTGATCAGTTAGGCTGTTACTGTTGGTTGCATACAACCCAGCTGGTCAAGTACTGACTTTAGGTGCCTGTCCAGTGCCTACTTGAAGACAGCCAGGGGTCTATTGGTAATCCCCCTCTCTTATAGTGCTAGTGGTGACCCTGCTTTTCATTAGGGGATGTTACATTGTCTGCCGAGTCTTTAGCTTTCATAGAGAGTGATTTTTGTGTGCAAATTTGGCACTAAACACTAGGTTTTTCCAAGTGTATATAATTATGTATCTCTCCCGCCTGCATTCTAGGGAGTACAGGTTGAGGAACTTCAAGCGTTCCCAGTAATTGAGGTGTTTTATCTCAGTTATGTGTGCAGTGAAGGTTCTCTGTACATTTTCTAGGTCAGCAATTTCACCTGCCTTGAAAGATGCTGTTAGTATGCAGCATTAATTCAGCCTAGATAGAACAAGCATCCTGAAAAGTGTCATTATGCACTTGGCATCCCTAGTTTTGAAGGTTCTCAATAACCATCCTGTCATTTTTCTAACAGATGTGGTAGATACAGTGTTGTGGTCTTTGAAAGTGAGATCCTCTGACTTTATCACTCCCAGGTCCTTTACATTAATTTCTCGCTTTATTGTATAGATGGAATTTGTTTTATACTTTTTAGAGTTTTAATTTCCTCAGAATTTCCATATCAGAGCAATTGTAATTCCTCTTCACTGAACTTCATATTGTTTTCTGCGGCCCATTTAAAGATTTACAAATAATATTTTAGCAGAGATCACCCCAGGAGGCATCTCCCTGATCTCAAAAATCTCTGATGTTATCCTAACACCACAAGACTTTGAAAAGGCAATAAATGACATGGCCGGCCCAGACTCATGGAACTCCGTGTTCACCAAGAACTGCAAGAATTCCCTGTCACGGTCCTTCAGCATTTTATGGAGAGGGAGCATGGACACAGGGGTCTTCCCACACTCACTAAAAACAAGACTTAGCCCAACTCCACAAAGGTGGCAGTAAAACAATTGCAAAAAACTACAGACGATAGCACTAACATCCCATATAAAAATCTTTGAAAGAGTTCTAAGAAGCAAGATTGCCAACCACCTAGATACCCATCAGTCACACAACCCAGGGCAACATGGGTTTAGAGCAAGTCGCTCCTGCCTGTCCCAGCTATTGGACTACTATGACAAGGTCTGGATGCTGTAGAGGATAAACAAAATGTAGATGTAGTATACACAGACTTTCCAAAAGCTTTTGACAAATGTGACCACTGTGTAATAGTGCACAAAATGCGTGATAAAGGAATAACAGGAAAAGTTGGTAGATGGATCTATAACTTCCTGACAAATAGAACACAAAGAGTAATAGTAAACAGTAAAGTCCGAGGCAGCTACAGTGAAAAGCTCTGTTCCACAAGACACAGTACTTGCTCCCATCCTATTCTTCATCCTCATTTCTAACATAGACAGAGATGTAAGCCATACCTCCCTGTCTTCCTTTGCAGCCGACACCCGAATTGCCATGACAGTGACCACAATCAAAGACACCGCAAGACTCCAAGCGGACATCAACCAAATCTTCAAATGGGCCACTCACAACAATATGAAGTTCAATGAAGAAAAATTTCAACTACTCAGATATGGAAAGCTTAAGGAAATTAATACAGTGGACCCTCGACCAACGATATTAATCCGTTCCTGAGAGCTCATCGTTAGTCGAGTTAATTTTCCCCATAAGAAATAATGGAAATCAAATTAATCCGTTCCTGACACCCCAAAGTATTGAAAAAAAAAAATTTTACTACATGAAATAATAATTTTAATACACACAAACTGAAGAAGACATGTACAATTACATGATACTTATCTTTATTGAAGATCTGGTGATGATTGATGGGATGGGAGGGGGGGAGTGTGTGGATGGTGTTAGTGTTTAGAAGGGAAATCCCCTTCCAAGTCCTTGAGGACATTGTTTTTCCTGAACACTCTGGGAGTTTCAGAGTGATACACCAATAAAGGCTTCACTTTGCAATCACCACTAGCATTAGCACACATCAACAGAGTAAGCTTGTCTTTCATAGGCTTATGTCCTGGGAGTGCCTTTTCCTCCTGAGTAATGTAGGTCCTGCTTGGCATTTTCTTCCAAAACAGGCCTGTTTTGTTACAATTAAACACTTGTTCAGGTTTCATTTCTTCACTGTCTATGTACTCCTTGAATTCCTGCACATATTTTTCAGCTGCTTTTTGGTCCAAACTGGCAGCCTCACCATGCCTTACCACACTATGTATGCCACTACGATTCTTAAATCTCTCAAACCAACCTTTGCTGGCTTTAAATTTGCTCACATCTCTACTAGTTGCAGGCATTTTTCCAATTAAATCGTCATGCAACTTCCTAGCCTTTTCACGTATGATCACTTGAGAGATGCTATCTCCTGCTATCTGTTTTTCGTTTATCCACACTAATAACAGTCTCAACATCTATCACTTGCGATCTCAGTTTCGAAAACATAGTTGCACCTTTGGCAAGAACAGCTTCCTTGATTGCCGTTTTCTTGGCCACAATTGTAGCGATGGTTGATTGGGGTTTTGTGTACAACCTGGCCAGCTCGGAGACACACACTCCGCTTTCATACTTAGCAATGATCTCTTTCTTCATATCCATAGTAATTCTCACCCTTTTTGCTGTAGGGTTGGCACTAGAAGCTTTCTTGGGGCCCATGGTGACTTATTTTGCAGGTGCAATCACTAAAAACGCTGTGATAATATGAAATGTTCCGATTGTATGTTTGGATGGGACCGCGCTGGCTGGCTGGGTTGTAAACACTGGCCACAAGTGGATGCGTCTCGAACGGAACGAATTGCGTTGGTCGAGTTTTTTAGCACTAGTGGAGGCAAAATTTTTGCGTTAAAATGTATCGCTAGTCGGATTTAACGTTATACGATGCCATCGTTGGTCGATTGTCCACTGTACTGTATCAGGGTATACAACAAATTCTAGCCATACTATAGAGCGAGAAATTAATGTGAAGGACCTGGGAGTGATAATGTCAGAGGATCTTGCCTTCAAAGACCACAACAATGTATCCACCGCATCTGCTAGGAAAATGATGGGATGGATAATGAGAACCTTCAAAACTAGGGATGCCAAGCCCATGATGATTCTCTCCAAATCGCTTGTTCTCTCTAGGCTGGAATACTGATGTACACTAACTGCCACCTTCAAGGCTGGCGAAATTGCTGACCTCTATAGTGTACAGAGAACTTCACGGCACACATAAGTATGATAAGGCACCTAAATTACTGGGAACGGTTGAAGGTCCTTGATTTGTATTCCCTGGAATGCAGATGAGAAAGTTTAGTTTAGTTTAATATCTTTATTATGTACCCTTACTTATCCTGTGGGTGGTAGTCAAAAGATTACAGAGGTACATAATGGGTCCTGACAGGTCTACAAAGAGACCAGGACAGGCTGGACACGTGGTTGAGGAATTGGAGCAGCGCTGTACAGCCCTTGTGATTTAGCGCTTCTTTTTGATTATAATAATAATGATGAGGAACTGGCTCCTAGAATTTAATCCTTCCAAATGCAAAGTCATGGCGATCAGGAAAAGGCAAAGAAGACCGCAGACAGGGTATAGGCTAGGCGGCCAGAGATTGCAAACCTCGCTCAAGGAGAAAGATCTTGGCGTGAGTATAACACTGAGCACGTTACCGGAAGCACACAACAACCAGATAATTGCTGCAGCATATGGGCGCCTGGCAAACCTGAG